GTTGTTCGACCTTCGTATTACTTCCCCCCCTCCCCCCCCCCGACGAGACAGACAGAGAGAGAGATCTTTCTTTGACTATGTTAGGGGGAGGCAATTTGTGTTCCTTCAGATGTTGTTGAGGTAAGACTGCCAGCATTAGTCACTATTGGCTAAACAGTCTGGAGGGACACAGATTGTACATTTAAAAAAGGTCTTGCTTTTGGAAGCTCACCCCACCATTGTTGTGCTTAATCTATCTTATTTACCTTTTTGAAAGGATACTTTTCCATGTCCGTAAAACTCCACATGACAAGCTGCTGGCCACCCTCTCGAGCTGCCCTTTGTCAGGCAGGATAAAATATGCAGCAATGTGAGCTTCATAGGGCATTTTCAAAATAGTACAAAACCGCTCATCATCACGTCCAAGTTCAAACATGCCCATCTGGAACATCATTGGCACTTTCACAACCATGTATGGATTCACATAGAAGTTGCGCTCCTCTGTGTACTTTGGATTAAAAGGCTTCTTTCATTTAGCTTACAGAAGGGGAGATACATTAGTACGTTTTTCACTGATTAGAACAATTCTATTCCCACACAGACCTCTTTGTGCACAAGAGTCTATGAAATGACAATAAAATTATTTAAGGAGCTTGACCTTTTTGGACCTAGGATCTACCTTGCATTGAAACCTGCAACATAGGATTTACTATTAAAGTAATTTTTTTCCCCTGAAACCTCTCAATCTAACTTGGTCCTTTCCTCTGTTTCTTTTCTCTACTTTTATTGTGTGTGTTTGTGTGACAGTATCATACCATTTTAACTATAGAAGCAATGACAGCCACAGCCTGAATTCTAGAACTGAAAGCCTATGAAAAGTTTAAAAATAGATATGAACACCCAAGATCAAATTTGGCATTTGCTATTCTTTCAGATAAACTTCTGAACTGATACTTCAAAAACATAAAACCTGCCATAGACTTCACTGGCCCTTCTACTATTAAACTGAATATTTTGCCACTCTTATTGTCAAAGTAAGCCACAAAAATATTTCATTGTGGCAATACCCGGCTTACAAGCATAGACAATAATGGCTAAAAGCACATTCCAACCTATTGTCCAGGCTCTATATGATCTTTTTTTCCTCTAGATCAGAGTGGAAAAGATCTAGATCATCTAGGCCAGATGAAGGACTACAAGTTCTTTTTTGTTGTCCTTTAACTCACTTTGACCATGATTACTGAAAACTGATAGAAGAGTATTCTGCCATATCAAGGCAATGAACATACAAAAGTGCAGTAGAAGTACAAAAATGGGCATCATGAAGTTTTAAGAAGCTCCTGAAACCTTAAGAATAATGTGCAGAATCCCAGTCCTGCCAGCATTTGTAATCTGGCCCCGCTTATCATCATCATTCAATATGAACTGCAGCTATTGGTCCTTGGCCACTGAAAGGGTGTCACAGTTCTTCAAGGATTGCCCAGTGTGAAAGGAAATGTCAAACCAGAAGGGAATAGAGATATCCTCCACCTATACCTCTGACTCTTTCCCTTTTCTCCATTCTAAGAGCTTGACTTGACTTGAAGTAGCTACAATAATCACAACTTTCAACAGCAGCCCAAGCCATCAGGTCAGATACTGAGAGGACTTGAAACTATAGCAGGTAGAGCTGGGGCAGGAAAACCTTTTGCCTGGAACTGTGGGCCATTCAATTGGGACGATTGAGAGAAATAGGTGTGATAAATTATGGAAGGAAGGGAGGGAGGAAAACTAAATGTTTTGTGACTGGGGAGGTTCTGTGTGTCAGGAAAATATAGCATTGGATGCTTCTTCAACCCTTGAATTGCTGCTTCTGAATTAGAGGGTGTGGATGCCTGGGCTGAGATAAAGCAGAGTCTGTCGAAAGAATTGTGCCTTCCAGTGACTGTGAGGACAGCTTCCCTTCTGACATCTTTCCTCAAGACAAGGAACTGAGAGGTAGGATGGATGGTAAGATGAATCCCAGAAGGAATGCATGGACTTGAGAGTGCACCCATCTTGTGCAGTCCCATCCTTTATCCAGAGGTCTCTGTAAGGACCTTCTTGTTGAGACTTTGATTCATTTATCATGCTGTTACAAAGCAAAGCGAAACAAAACCACCATGCCTTTATAGAGATCTCTGGTTCTGTACCACCTCAAGACCCAAGATTATCAGCCATAAAATTTCAGTAGAAATTTTTTAAAAATCTACGTTGAAGTTCAAAAGCAAAATGGGACTTTACTATTTCAGGCTGCATGTAGGGAGGGAGTAACGTGATTTAATGCTTTTGTGTGCATACCTACATCCACCTAACAGAAAAATGTCCCTTTACATAGAAAGATAGCACTAACAAAGAGTTTCCTACATATAAAGAATGTTATTATTCTTTCATGGAAATGTATTATAAAAGCAACTGTAATGGAAAAATAATAAAATAAAGCTGGAAACTCTCCTCCCCCATTGTCTCTCCTACAGCAAACCCTTTACTCCCCCCTCCCCCTTGCCTCTCCTGCAATCTCTTTCCTCCACTTCCTTCTGCCAGTCTTTGCTCGTGCAAAATAGGATCAGCTCCAAGCTATTGCATGACCCAAGAGTGACATGTTCCACTGCCAAAAATAGCCCTCTATCATCCTCCGGAATGGGAGGGCCATCACCTGTCTGCTTAAGGGCTTGCCATGGTTCTTATCTTACAATAGAAAAGCCATTTATCTCCCATTTAACTTCTTTCCAAAACTTGCCCACCAATCATATCCCAAGGATTTCCCACCTCTCAACCTCAAAAGTGTATAAATTCTATGCTTTTCTACTGTTCTTTCTTGGAAAGCAGGCACCCAATGATCATTGCAACAAACATGGTTCTTCTCCTCAGCATTATGCTCCTGTCTTTGGCAAAAATTCCACAACACAATTGATAAAAAGGAACCTTCCCTTGCTGCTGCCATTAGATTTATATCTTAAGGTGGCTCTTCCTACATCTGAGCCAGTCTGGTGTCGTGGTTAAAATGCTGGCCTAGAAAAGCAGGAGATTGTGAGTCTAGACCTCCCTTAGGCATGAAAGCCGGCTGGGTGACTTTGGGCCAGTCACTCTCTCTCAGCCCAACTGTGAGTCTAGACCTCCCTTAGGCATGAAAGCCGGCTGGGTGACTTTGGGCCAGTCACTCTCTCTCAGCCCAACTCACCTCACAGAGTTGTTGTTCTGAGAAAAATAGGAGGCAGGAGTATTAGGTATGTTTGCTGCCTTGAGTTATACATAAAAAAAGGTGGGATAAAAATCTAATAATAATAACAGTGGACCACCTTATTAGCTGCTGCAAGAAGATTGCAGAGACTGATTACAAACAATGGCATGACAAAGTAGCAACAATGGTGCATTGGAATATCTCCAAGAAATACCATTTGCCTGCAAGCAAGAACTGGTGGGACCACGAAACAAAGTAATAGAAAATGAAGAAGCTAAAGTGCTCCAGGACTTTAGAATTCAAGCAGACAAGCACCTGCCACACAACACCCCAGACTTAACCATTGTTGATAAGAAAGACAAAAA